TGAGAGCGCCGACAAGGCAAACGGCGGGAAATCATGAAAGCGCCTGGTTACCGTCACCATGGCAACCAACCATGAAGAATCCTTACTGGAGGCAAGACTGTGTTGAGCGCAAACAACATCAGTGTTCATTGTACCAATGGCGCCATTAGGCATAATGTTAAAACGTCCACTGTTTGAAACAAAAACGAAGCCGCGCATGCAAAACAAATATCGCTTGCTTAATAGGTGTTATAAAAGAGCCCGCTCGATCGTTTCTTTAATGAAGCGACAAAACAAATGTTATTAAAAAGTGGACATAAATAAAGACCATCGCTAATTCGGATGGGTCTCGAACCAACGACCTTCCGCTTTCCAGTCCAGACGTCTTACCATTCGATCTCCGAGTTTGCCATGGTCAACTGGCCACTTGGAACTGATAAGCCAGCAGCTGGAGCCGTCATCGCCTTTCCTCGGAAGTTTGTGTCCTGGAAATGTGAAGTCCTAACATTGGGAAGAAGCTTGTCAACTTCTCCCTCAACTGAACACTGCATAAACCATTAGGTCACGTCCTATATATGACCAGCTTTGGATGTTTTGCAAGGACACGGCTGGAGAATAATCTGGCAAAACAACGCAACCTTTGATAATAAATGGGCATCTGAAATCATTCCATGTGCAGAAATGACGAAACACTTTAGAGATTAAATAAGAGGCATTATATACGGAATGTTAAGCAAAAGGACAGCAAAAGTCGACACGTATTTTGGCAATGGTTAACTTTGTAAATTTACTGAAAAAGGCCACAGCTTTAAAACCGATTGATTTTGACATCAACATCGAGACTTCCGCAACTCGGAGGCAGTAAAAGCTAATCGAACTATGTACGTGTGCTCGGGGGAACGCATTCTGCAAATTTTGCAATGTCTGATTCTCATGATGAAGCCATAGACTGTCTGTGATCATAAACACACCATGGATGGGTTTCTTGGCATTTAAATGTCTAATGTACTTTAACTTTTTACAGGGAAAAATATTAAATGCATACAACTTCAGGTGTGTTTCATCTCTTCAACTTTTTTTTTTTTTTTTTTTACCAATAAAGGGTGCACGCGATATTGTTCTTAGGAACACATTTTGTGCAACTTTCTACTTCTCTTAAATGTATGAAAACTTTTTGACTTCTCTTTTTGGTTAATTTCATTGAAAAGTCTTCTTCGAACATTTAAAATTGTCCATGCTTTTCCGGACAATTGAGGACGCTGTTCGTACAATGTCATTTCAGAAAGACACTGTTCAGTTTAGGGGTTTTCTGTGAACCAAAAATTTGCTCATTGAAAACATTTGTGAGAAAGGGTTGTTCATTGGCTTACTGCCATGTACTTACACAACAACGAATCACCTAAGAAAAAAATACGACAGCAAAATATCCAACATTCTAGCAACTTTTTTGTGTGCTGAAATAGCAGTTACATTGAGGTTTGGCCTGGAATGACATCACAGTTTGGTGATGAATATGGAAATTGGCATTAGCATAAAAACCAAAAAGGCACCAAAATACCCTTCAAAGCGGCAAAACAGAAATTGAAAATTAGGTTAAATGGGACACAAAGGTGCATTTCAAGGATATCATTAAAACAATTACATCGCATGAGCCCTTTAAATAAATTCAACCCAATTATGCGTTTAATTTAGTGTCCCTCCTTCAATGAGCTGCTATATTTGTCGTGCGCTTCCATTTAACTTCATTTAAATACGACCACTGTAAGAGTAGTACCAAGGAGTAGTATCAATTTTGAAGAGTCACTTTGCATTGATTTTGAGGTAATTACATTAAGAAACCTCTCAATCTGTGACATAAACATCATTGTTATACATTTCATATACACGTATAAATATCTCAGAAATATAAGAGCAAATTTAGGAACTGGCGTGTTTGATGCAATCAATATATAAAAAGGAATTCAATGTTTGATTCATCATTATTTTGACATTATTTTGATACTTATTAAATGTAGGAATTTGAAACAAATTATAAGTACACAGTCATTTCCCTAACCCAACCAAGTCTAAACCACAAATTACAGTATCTTTGTAACTAAATGGCCCATATGGTGCCTATTTTCTTAGGATCACATTTTGTGGAATTATCTAGTTTGGAAACTATCTGACATCCCTTTTTGGTTAATTTCATTGAGAAATGCACTTCTTCAAACATTTCAAAATGTCAATGCTTTTTCGGACAACTGATGTCGCTGTTGCTGTGATGTCATTTCAGGAAGACACTGTTCGGTTGAGGGGTTTTTCTGTTCTCATTGTTAACCCAACATTTGCTAATTGAAAACATTTGTGAGAAAGGGTTGCTCATTGGCTAACTGCCATGTACTTACACATCAACGAATCACCAAAGAAAAGAAAATTTATGACAGCAAGTACCCAACATTCTAGCAACTTTCTGTGCTGAAAAAGCTGTAACATTCTGCCCGGAATGACATCACGATTTGCTGTTGAATATGTAAATTTGCAGCAGCAAATAAACAAAAAGGCACCAAAATACCCTTCAAAAATGGCAAAACAAAAACTGATATAAGGTTGAATGGGACACAAAGGTGCATTTTCGAGAACTGCTTTGAAAATATTACATTGCACCTGTCATTTAAACCTGAGCTATGATGGAGTTTTGACTTCTTAAGAATGAAACATTCATTGCTGCGCTCACATATATTAAAATTTATAGAAACAAATTATTCCACAGAGTTTTGAAAAGATTATTAAATATCAGCATGGCAATAAAAGCCTGGGTATACAGAATCAAATTAGAAGGAACATGAAGATATTTAGACCAACGTCAGGCCGTGGAATATCTATATAAATAAAGCCCCGGATGTCTAAGTGAAACCGAATGACCTGTTCCCGGCTCTCAGTTTTTTTTTGATCAACAGAATGTCGACCTACATGAGACAGCTTCGATCGTTCTTTTGCATCATGATTGATATGATGGTTCAAAAATGCCAAACTATTTGACCTGTAACTGAATATTTGAGCCGATATGAAAGAGGAAATCGAATCCACGTCCAGGCCAGGACCATTGTCCGTCCCAATCCAGCCCAAATACCGCTGACTGAAAGTGGGCCCTACATCCAGATTGGGAATCGGTTGCGCCGCACCACCTGTACCACCTTTCACTACATCCCTTCTAGATTTACCCACCCTTGGGGCAAGGCATCTTCTTGGTTTGTCACGGAGATTCAGGGCCTCTAATAAGGCATGCCGCTTTACATAACTGAAGAAGCTGCTGAGCAACGGGTAGGTCAACATCAGCTTGTCGATGCCACATGCGACCCAGTTTCACCTTAAGCCATTCACCATACCAAAGAAGATTCTTTCGGCCTTAAGCGTCAATGGGAATCGAAATCCTCGTTCTTCTTTAGCTTTGCGAGGAATCCGACGCCTGTCACGGGCTTGTCTTGTCCCTCGGTTAAGCCGCTTGTCGGCTAAAATTTTAATATGGCAATGCATTAATTATGTGCGTTCCATCATAAAAAAACCCCATACTTAGCCAATGGGTGATCTGCTTCATCCACGTTTGTTTGAAGCGTATTACCCATAATGCCCAAGGACATAAGCTGCTCTGCTTCGCACTAGAGTATGCCCCAAACCATGCTGTTAAATAAGTTACTTTTTAATAGACACGAAATACTAATAAAGAAAAAACCAGGGTAAGCTAACCTTTTAAAATCAAGTGAAAGTATAAAAATTGTATTATGCATAACCATAACTAAAAATACATAAAAACAGTTACAATTTATAAGTTAAACCTTGAAAAGGTATTCCTGTTCTCGTAGAAGCAAGTGCATATTGGTATTAATATTTATTTTTACTGGAAATACACCAAACAAAATAATGGCATGGATTAGCACAACAAAAGTGGCTGATGAATAAAAGCTAATAAATTATCAGCGACATGGGTGTAGACTGTAGAATAGCAAAAATATACGAACTCAATAGGAGAGAAAGTAATCCCCGCTTATTGAATGAAAAACCATCAGGTCTTCCTGCAGCAAACTACAGACGTGTGACCAATTATGGTAAAGCATTCAATTTCAGAGTTTGTTTTTAGAAATGTCATTAACTTGGAATGTACTTTCATACCACTAGTTCTGTTCGTTACAAGGCCTTTCTGCTCGAGTGACTGCCTGTGCAAGTTGAAATTTGCTTTTGGTGAAAAATGAACAGCTAATCTACCAGCAACATGTTGCTCTTCACAGGCGATTAAATTTTGTTCGAAGGAAGGACACTTCAGTAGCTATCCCCGTGCAAGAAATACCAACAACACAATGTATTCTTTGTATATCGTACTATTGTTAAAGCAACACCGAGTATGTTAAAAAAAAATTTATTTCTTTTAATTTACAGCTTTTACAAGATCATAATGAAAAGCGGTCTCTCGTTGTTCATGTAATGAAAGAATGGAACATATTTTTGACTTTTTTCCGCAAACAACCACCCACTGAAACAGATAACACAACAGTAACTGAATTGCCAGGTACAGTGACAACCCACTTAAATCAGGGGAAAAAAACCTATTTTTTCATCTCGGCTGATAAACACATATATGATTCAAGATGGATTTTGTTTCGGCAGCGGAAACTGGATATATATTTTTACTCTTTTTGACGCAGGTTTAACACTTATTCCTTGCGCTTTAGGCGTTGCTGGAATACTACCCACTAATGATGTAGAACCATGCCTTTCAAATTCTTTATTAAAGGCTCGGCTAACGCTAGGTTCATGGTACAGCTTACCAAAATATGATTATGTTTGTGCTTAACGCTTTTAAGTCTGCGTGAACCTCGCGGGGAATGCACACACGCTGACCGTTAAGCGCAGCACTTTCTGCAGTAATTGGGAGATTCTTCGCTTAGCCAGATCCATGAAATTTGGCCATTTATGAATCGAAAGCTTGAGATGAGTATGTGTGGAATGGCAGAAAGGTATTGCTTTCTCAAGGGAATTATCTTTACCTCTTCTCCAAGTGCATCAAAGCTGAAGTTGTACTGCTTCAAAGCCCGCTCCTTGACCTGGGTGGCGAAGGCTTTAAACTGAGGCGTCTCTGGCTTACGCAAGGTGAAGGTCATCAGGGATCGGTAAGCCTCCTTGGCAGCAGCGTCATTCTTGTCACCACGCTCCCAGCTGACGTCCCCGAAGTACTTGCTGTCGAAGAGGAAGATGTTGAAGAAGGCGTACTCCCCGTTGGTCATGCCCAGCTCGTGGGCAGCTAGCATGATTTTGCGGATGGAGTCTCCCGATGCACACATGACCACAACTGCAGAACGGAAAGAAAGGAAAAGAAAACAGTCCTGTCAAAACAACACTTAAGTACAACAGGTAGATCTCTGGCTTCCCGATGAACGAAGATCGATTGGTGTCTACATGGAGGCATCCTTCCTCATAGCTGTCTATTGAGCTTCACTTTTTACAAGTTTGTTTTCGATATGTTCTGTATAAACCGACTTTGTCTAATAAGTTTACAGTCTCTTTTTTGTTTTGTGCCAAATATTGCAACAGTATAGAGTCAAGGACATATACCACGACTGACTGGCACTATTATATTAATGTGTGTTAAGACAAACACCACGTGACACGTCCCTTTATTTTCTCTTTGGTAATACACGATAGTGGAAATCAGACTCTTTTGCCGGATAAAATGTAGCTGTTAATTTCAAATGTGTTTCCTTAGTGATGGTAGGATCTGTGCATACACATGAATGAGAGCTACTAGTATTTGCTCTATCGAGCACGTGCAATAGCTGTCTCGGTTACAAATGGCCGACCTTTGCCTCTTTTCAACCCGAAATTTAACGCATTTTGTTGCCTCTGTATTTGGCCAGGAATGCACTAATCATCTCCAGTGGGAAAACATCCCGCGCACCCAGCGATACTCATAAATCACTGCGCAATTTGCAGCCTCAGTCGAAAGAGTACTCTTGTTTGCGACTGGACTTCTTGACAGGTGTATACTCTTCAAGTTGCTTTATCTCATACAAGTTGAGATTAGACCTGGGTTAATTTGGCCAGTCTCAAGATTATAGTTATAAGCCGGTTGCAATATCAGGTCGGCACGAAAAGCCCGTTAGTGGAGTGATCTATAATGTGGTTTTCTCAGCCCGTGTGATTAGCCTAATTGGGGTGAATCAGTCAGAAGATTCTCATGGTGACGGTATACCTACTGAAGGTATTATTTACGACGGGGTGCCAGTGATTTGTACAGGCGCACCATACTGGTAAGTCTCCTATCTACAAATAGGGGTTCGTTTGAACACACGCAGTCCGGTTTGGTATGACTTAGTTGCAAATGCATAAAGTACTTCGAAAATCACAAGTTATTATTTATGTTACTGCCTTAAGAAATTTGAAATTAAAAAAAATACATCAAGGCTCAACTGCAAGCTTAACTTCTTAAAATGAAACGAACGTTATCTACATTTCGCGCATATCGGAATATAGAGAAGAATAATTAGATTGGATACTATTACAATTTCGTAATTATACTGTCGATTTCAGAGATTTTTTTCTGCAGCGAAACTAAAGCTCTCGATCATTTGATGATGGACCACTGACACAACTGGAACAATCTTCTCGCAAAATCAATGTGTAGAGTGGATTATTTCGAGCTATTTTTACACGGCCAATAAATCCAGTAAAGTACTCCAGTGTGAGCGAACTATCTCCAATCAAGTGCGAAATTCACAATCTCGAGCCGTAAAAGTTCAGCTAAACCCGAATACTGAGCCGTTCGTCGATCTTTAATCAAGTTGTATTTGCGCAAATCTTTGTCAGACCTGTAAGTTGGAAGTGCTTGGCTCTCTCCACGATGGGATGCCAACACCGGGATGGAGAAGGTTATCAAGAGGGAATAAAAAAATGCCAAACCAAAATTACCCAGCCAACAACTCGAGTGGAGGACCAAAATCTATGCTGATACGCATAAGCAAACACATTTCTTGCCGGCATGTGTTGACACAGTTGACATTGTGCAACTCACGTCTTAGTAATTAAAACGATTTCTGGATACAATTGCGTCCACGGAGCAGTCTGGGTATTCTGAACCTTATGTGCTCGGGTTACGCCAATCGTCGACAGGATATTGCACTGTGCTTTCTATGGACCTATACAACTCTTATGTGATTTATCATAGGCATATCCGGGTAATACTAGTCTGCTATCGTAGGTAGATAGCAAGCAAACAGGTGCCAAGGGATGCGTAGTTTGACCGACTCTTTTCATGTACTGTCCTCGTGGGCTCCGTCAAGAGTAGTCTTTTCCTGCCTGACCCCATTCTTTCTATTTGCAGGGGTCCCATTTGTGTTATTGACATAAATGACAGCCGTAAGAGTGTGTGGTCAATATTCCTTATCGCTAAGTTGGAGGTTTGAGTGATATGCATTCAAGGTGTCTACAACCATTTCGCTTAACAATCTCAAACAGAACCAGAAAAATCGTATGCATTAGTATTCAAATTAAATACAAATTAAAATGTATATATTGGATTAAATCTTCTCAAGCTAAACACACGACTTGGGGGCTCATTTACGTAGTAAATCATGAAAAGGGAGATGTAAGTTTGTTTTTAGTACATGTAATAACGACAGATAACCCTGAAGGCACAACCTATCAAGATAACACAGAGGAACTGGCAATCTAAATAAGGTCCGCGTTCGCCTTGGCAATGCAATCAGATGGAATTGCACTGTGTGACAATCTCGCCGTCATGGAAGCAATATAATGGAGGGAAGGGGGGGGGGGATTGAGTCATGACAGCGCCTTAATGCCGGGAGACTCCTGTCATCGAAATAGTCTATCAGCGCAGGGGATAGAGGAGCGAGATAGGGAGATCGACACAGTGTCCAAATAAGGTGATAACGATCTTTCTCAAGAAGACAAATCACTATCGAAGGATTTGGTCCTTGTACTCCATCCACCCACTCACGCTTGCTGAAGATGACTACAGATGTAAAGTCAGCTCGAACTGCTTCTTAAATACTCTAAAACCAGATTATGATTTCATATTGCAGTAATAATGCGATTGGAGCAAAGGTCTTCCCTTTGACACTGCGCCCCAGCTTTGCGGTCGAACCACAGACACAGACAGACATTAGGAGGTTTGGTCGGATCTTTCTGCATGTACACCCATACATTTGAACAAAAGTGCTTCCGTCGGAATCGAAGTGACGGCGTTTTAGTGATCGATTAAGTCTTGTAACGGTTCGAGTGAGTGTTGCAAAGAGGTTCCCACTCAGAGAGACTCAGTTATGTCATTAAACGACAGTTTTCAGAACTTTCTCCTTTTTTTACGCAAACTTCGCATCAAAACAAAGATTCGATTCTATTTTTCATTTTTTTAAATTATTTTTTTAATAATTGACCATGTATTGCCGCCCTTACATGTCATTAAGGAACCGATACCGAAACTTCACATCAAAGACCTCGGTTTTTACGAGAGCTTTTAAAACCAATCGAAACCTCGTTGATTCAACACCAAAATACACTAGTATGATGCCAATCGGCAGTTGCATCAGGTATCAAATGGAAAACGGTTTTAGGTTTCGCTGTATAAAACTGCTCAACACACACCACGCCCGCAATATGCAAACAACTCATCCCACTAACGATCTCATCTTTCTTCGTGTTCTGATGGATTGACTGCACGAACTCTGACAAACTTCCTCGTTATAGATGGCTCGTGCAGTTTATATCGAGTTTGTATAATAACAACCGAGCCCGAGGTAGGTAAATACGGAAAATTGATACAGATAAAACGAGACAACCGGGATATTGAACGATGGTTTGACTGCTTCCAATCATCTACAATCACAACTCATACCATGAAACAAAACACAAACACGACTTCAAACCAATATCAGATCAATCTTATTTAGAACCGAAAACACGCAAAAGGATTTTAAAAGCACAAAGACTAATAAAAAGTTAGCCTGAAATCAAGACCAGGGAAAAATAAGGTGGAAAAATGTTACTTATGATGTACTATGATATCTGAGACAAGTACATTCTTTGTAGCTATGAATGAAGTCAGCCCCACTGCTAATTGTGTCGCAACAGTTAAGGACATTACTACATCAGCGGTCGAGCCCAACAGTTAATCCGCTCTGAGCCTTAAACCCACACGAGAAGTCGCATTTTTTCAATTACAAAAATTAACTTTGCCGGATCTGCAGACTTGAGGCGGCGCCTGGCACTGGGGCGTTTACACAAGGGGGTATCTCCACGGTTTATTTGTTTGTCTGTATGAGGAAATTTTTAGACTGGAGCCAGGGAGGCGCAATCACTAGCTCAGGCGTGACTCTTGACGTTGAAGCCGATAGCATTGACAGTAAACTACTGCTAGACGGTAATCATAATAGTGAAATAATCCTCAGCAAAGGTTGGATACGGAGCTATAATTTAACCCCACACTTGCCGGGAACGTATCCGTGAACAACACCGAGACGGAACACAACCCAAAATGAATTGATAGAAAAGGCGGTTGGTCCTATAGGACCGCAGCTTTTGTGTACGCTTAAACCATTCATTTATGAATAAACCCTGTGGAAATATCTCCAATGATAAAAATGCATATTTGCCCCGCTTGTTTTGACATGTCGTAACATCGCAGCCTACAATTACGACACCCAAGCAAGCAATACATTGCTGCACGTATTGCGGTAACCCTGATTACCATCCCTACAACCCTCAGGTACGGCATGGGGCTATTTATCAAAGCTCCGTCGCAGGTTCACGAGCATTTTAAGAGAGTCCTGTCAAATGGACATCATCTCCCCCTGCGAACAAAAACCAAACAAGCGTAGGGAGGCTTAAGATTTTATCAGTCATGAAGAGGGACAGTGTCCCCTCCTTCCGCTGTATTTCCCTACATCACCGGGTAATAAAACCAAAATAAGTGACATCTAAATTGAACCGTAAAAGACAGGCGCGTGGCTACCGGGGCGTTCGGGTAACCAAAACCCCCAGGCGTGCTTACGCCCACTCAATGGAACAGGGCTAGAACATCCGAAAGTAGAATTTGTGTTTTCTAGGCGTGGACCTAAACTAGGATCATGTTTAAAGGGATATACAACATTTGCAAACATCGAAAAATAAAACTACCAAGTTTTGCGAAATCCTTAACAGGATGTTGGTAAATGACAGTCTAAAGCATCCTGTAAAATTATGGCACCTGGTATACTGTCATTTTCAAGAAAAGTGGATTTTTGTATCAATTTCCAACGCTGATCGGCCGATCAGCGTTGGAAACAACTGGCTTTTTTTCCAAATACTAGCCCCAATT